GCTGTGGCATTGCACGGCTTTCAACCGTGAAGAACCGCATGCCGAGGGCCGCTGTAATTAAAGTGCTTATTGATTAGACTTGATGTGCTTCTGTGTCCCCTGAACCGTGAGCCGGTCACTCTCACAGACATTCAAATCACCTCAGAGCCACGAGACCAATGTCTATGCTAATGCTTATGGTAATCTGTCCCCCAGTTTAAGTCGATTATTGATGCCTTCTCTAAATGGACGGTTGATCCACAATTGAAGCTTTATGAAAGGGTGTCAATGTGAGATTGACACCAGGGTCATGAGGTCAACTCCATTTCAACGCAACCACTTCCTTCTAATGAATTGGGCATTACTTCATTAATTGAAACATTAATTGGAAAGTAAATGACATTTCTCAACTCCAAGTGGGATTTCAGTTTATCCTTTGGTATCGAACGCTAATATACAATATTCACACAGAGACCCAAGAGAATAGGTCAGAGAACCTCATTTGTTGAAGACCAAACTGTCATTGGTCTCATCTAAACAGAGAAAAAAGACAGATGGAGAAAATAAAGAAAATAACATTGTACGAGTTCCACGCTGAGATAAAAGTCAGGCTGAGATCTGGTGACATCCATCTGAACAAGAGAATAACGATGTTTTATGTGTCGGCACAGAGAGCAAAGCAGAACATCATGCAATAAGTCTAAGAAAGGTCGAAGTATTGATCAGTGTGTATGACTGCTGCACCCCCAACGCTCCTCCAGGTCTCACACTGACCCGCTTTGCTTTGCTCTTTGCCAAAGCACATCCTCGGGCAGCCATTCTCCTTGTCATGTTGATGTGCTTTCATCTTCTAAACTTAAACCCTGACATCTAGCTAACATTCCACCTCGCCGGATGTTTTTAGGCGCTTTTTCTCACTGCAGATGAAAAGAAAGAAGACACTTGTAAAAGATAAAGCAATAATACTCTTCAGTGTTGGATAATGGATAAAATTAAACATTGATCTGTGTGGAGATGATTTCTTATCAAACAGAGAGCAGACACAGCCAGCCGCATTCATCTGATTCTTTAATTACTGGTCTCATTTGCAATATGCCAATCACATTCTATCTTTGCCAGCAGGATCGTGTCATTTGCTTTCAGTCGTGCTAAAGATTAGTATGCCCCTTCCCGGCCTTGGTTTGATATTAAAGGCCCTGGATCTGCACTATTAACGAGGTAACAACCAGAGGTCTTCTTATGTGACTCACATCTGAGTAGATTTAACTTTAAAAATTGTCATCACACTGCTGTTGTTTGAAGCAGGTGGGTTGGGTTTCTGTCTTAGTCGTCTAGCGTGCTCTGTGAAAGTTGAGGAAGCGGAAGTGTGTGTGACGATGCTTATTTTAAAAGTTGTTTTGTTGTAGTTTGATTGTGTGTTCAGACATGTGCTTCAGCATGCACACTGGCTTTACAGTAGGATTCTAATTCCCGTTTGGAGTCAATATGGAACGAGGATATTAAAGTCATCATTGATTCTAATTTCCTATGATGCCCCGTTCCACTCTCCTGGTTCATCAGAAGATGGATTCCTATCTCCTACGCTGTCAGACAACTAACAGCCCTGGCTTCTGTCCAGGACAACAGTTAATGCATAAGAAGGGAATGAGTAATTCACTAGAGGTGTTTCTCCTGTAACAAGTTGCCACAAAGACAATCATAGGTCTCAGTCAAAGGTCTGTATTTGGTCAACCATCAAATAGTTGTGTAATAGATACTCTAAAATAGTATACTAAAGTATTGTTGGCACAAAGATGATCTTGTTTCTGGTTAGGGGTAATGGAAAACTGGTTCTTGTTGAGAACTGGTTCCCACTGTTTTAATTCCTAGGAATCATTTGCCATTTTTGTGAATGATTCCCTTATCAATTCCAGTCAGCGCAAATGACACACTTGTTGGGGTCCTGCCCTCATGAGAAAATTACTACGCAGTATTTTCTCCAAAGGACTGTGCCATCTACGCCCTGAAGCGTAGACAATAAAGCATGTTAATATCAGCGCCAGCAGGGACTCCATGTTCCATGATCCTCTGCAGCCGGCAGCAGCTTGATGACGTCATCAAGTGACGCCAAGTCTGACACGCCCCCGGTGGATACCGGCCCCTACAGAGACCGCCCACTGGACGAGTCTATAAAGCCGAGGCGCAGAGCGGAACTCTTTCTCTCCCATGTCCAGTTCACCAGGTGTAAGGAGACCCCCGCCTCTGCTCCTACCGCTCCGGACGGTGTGTGTGTGAGGCCTAGCTGCTGGGATCAACGGACCAACGCCATCTGATCTGCTCAGCCCCGGACACAGAGGGACACCTTGTGTCTGTTCATTCAAGATTTTTCTTTTTTTTTTCTCTCTCTTTCTCTTTCACTTCTCTAATAGTCCAAAGCAAGCGGTCGACCACGTGACTGCTTAGACGATCTCTTTCTTCCGTACTAAAAATGCCAACGGACCATCTCGAAATAAGCTCCGTTTCTCTTGTTGTTTTAGTATCTAAGTTTGTTTACGCTGTGGCCAGGCCAGACAGACTGTATAGATAGTTAATTTGCCTTTATGATTGATCTGTTGTTATCTTTTCTTGAGCTTTGTAAAGCGATTTGAAGTGTTTTGATCAAGTTTACTGTGAACGTTGCTCACACCGTCAAATACGCGTCCCATCAGGGGCCCATGCCCACTGATTATACGTGTTTTTGGAAGCCAGGCTAAATTCCACACACACACATTCCTAGTTTCGATCCTTTGTTCAACCAAACAACGTATCCGCCATTTTGTTTTTCAAAACTCCCTCCCGTTTGGTAATCAGCCTATCTCTGTCTGATTACATCATCAAGCAACCCCACCTTTGCTTGATTACATCACCATCTCACCCCACCAGTCTGATTGTATTGTTTCTTCACAGTATCATTCCATTATTTCCTTGCTTGTTGTTTGTTTGATAAAATCAGTTGGTTGACATGCTGATTGGCTAGCGCCTTGGAGGAGCTGAGGTGGTTATATTAGTTAATAAATGTTATTGCCAATTAAGTTTTGTCTCAAGTGAATTTGTCTGTGTTGGATAGAATATGACCGCCGCTCGTTAAAAGAATTTTACGAACTTTAGAAAGATTGATAGAGGTTTGGATTCAATTTTCCCCTGTTAAAAGGGGTGGTGCCCTGAGGCATATCCACGGATATCCTAATTAAGTAATAAATCGGTAAATATTTCCATATTTACAAATTTTATTGATGAATCCTAAGGGTAAGGAAAACTTACCTACTCTTTGTTGGCTAATAACCACAACACACTTATATTTACAAGCTACGTTGCGTAGCTTACAAATTTACTCAACAGGAAACATGGCGCCTAAGCGCACAAACACTCGAATGTTGGGTTATATTCTACAAGAATGAATAAAAACAGAGAAACTTGCAATACTTGCAATGTAGATATTTCCTCAACGGGCGGAGAATATGCAAAATCATTTGTGCACAAAATACTCGATAACTTAAAGTGAATGTCGTGTTTTTTAGCTGCTCTGGTCTGGTGAATTTCAATGCAGCAGCAGCATTAAAGTTTGCACATCCTCTCCTGTTGATACTGCAGTTAACTAATCAGCTAACACTGTCTATCATATTAGCATCATTAGCGTTATGTACACATTTCCACACTAGCAGACTCCAGTAAATAAAATCCAACATGTGGTGACATTTTGCCCATTTTGCTAAAGCTACAGCAACACTACACTGAACAATATGATGACTCTGCTTTCACTAGGAGCATTAAGGAGAACATTTGGAAAGATCTTTCCAACCAATACCAGCTCCAGTTGATTATTTATCGTTAATAAACTCACTGTTATAATGCCAGAAACTGTGTACAATTCATTTTTTGCCACCTGTTGAACTACTTGGGAATTGATAAGCAATTGGGTTGATAGAAAGGACAAATGACATTGATATTGATTAATACGTATTAATTCCTACCCCTATTTCTGGTGCAGGTAGGATCTCATCAGGGCTGTCAACCCTGCTTGATTTGGAAATCCTGGCATCTCAGCCCTGCTCTTTGCAGATTCTATTAGTGTCTTTGGTGTTCACTGGAGTAGTGTGCAAACACAGACCTGTTACTGATGGAAAGGCTGTCCAACTGGACCGAACCAATTTAATTAGGGCTGTTGGAAAAATGGTTTCAGTCTACAGCAGTGACACGGTGACTGTGATGTGTGGTGGGGAAAAACAAGTCACAGTCAAAACACAATACGCGATAACTTCAGCATGCAATGCTAGTCCAGCATTGGATGGTCAACCAGAATAAAATGCATTCCAGCCCATTATACTGGACAAGTAATGTATGCTTGGCCACCGGCTAAATCAGAACATAAGCTGGTAATTACCTGCTGGTCTATGCTTATTTTTCAGCAGGAAATAAATCAAGCCAGAAAACAAACCTGATTCTTCACCCTTAAAACATAATATTGCTCATTGATGGTTGTGAGATGTGAGGTGTTCAGAGCTGCTCTTATGTTTAGGATACGGACAAGTTCAAAATGGAAAAAATACCACACAATGCATTAAATTGCTCCTATGCACAAAATACGCACAGATCTAAGTGCGGTTCATAAACGGGATCTGGTGTTTATTTTAGCTGTCATAGATGAATAGGTTCAAAATGTGCTGCATAAAAGTGCATAAAGATCAACCAAGAGTTCAGTTTTACTCACTTTTTCCTTTCTGGTATCACACCTGAATTTCCTGGGCTTTCATTGACATTTGAGTTTAAGCTTCATCTTTTGGAGAAAAGATCTTCCACAAAATCCTCTATTTAAGTTCCATCTAAGACATTCATTCTTCTTACAATGAACCTAAAATTGTATTTTTTGCATTGTGTATTTGGATGATTATGTAGTTAAGCGTGGCACTGGAACTTGAAGCCATTCCAGCCCACACATTCCTGTGTGTGGAGCCATAAACTTTCAATAATATTTCCTCTCTCCTATTGACTGTGGCCATATTTTAGTGCATTTTCTCTAAATCAATGAATGTCTATTTCAAAAACCATAGAAAACCCACAATGCATTTTACTCATTATGAAAGTGAAAAACTATGACAAAATCAGAAAAGACAGTAGACTTTACATTAAGGTACTGAGGTTTAGTTTACTCACCTTATTCCTCTTTTTAACCCCAACCCAAACTCAAATAACAAATTAACTAATTATTCAGATGGCAATGTAATTCTCCTTTTGTGTTTTCTGGTTGCAGTTTGCATATCTAGGTCAATCAAAAGCTAGTATAAGAGGAGTTCAGTCACTTTGTATGAGAAAATCCCCAAAACAATCATTTTCTGTATCTGTCTTTTTTACTATGTGTATTTGACAGAATCTTGTCCAAAAAGGGTCCTTATCATTCAAAAATGTTTTATTTTGGCTGATCTGGATTGATTTTAAGATAAACTCACTCATTTTTATTTTGAATAAGGTCCATTGCAAATTTTCTTAAATTAGACAGACCATGTAGTTGGGGTTAGGGTAATGGAAAGTGATGACAATCGCTGTGTACAAAAATAACTAGTAATGTTTATGCTTATGTTTATTGCACTGTGGGTGGATGTGTGGTAAAAAGACTCATTTGACACGTTAGGTTGTGTGAGGTGAGCTCATAATTTCCTCCCCCATTGTGTGGCCACAATGTCTATGCTCCATAGTGACAGGGAACGGGTGAGGTGAGGTTAGGGGTTCGCATAGATATAAAAGCAGAGATCAAAACTTGGCATCTCAGAAAGACAGAAACTGTTTGAAGGAGTACCCGTGCCTGCTGTTTGCTCACTCATCATTGACACATCAGCTCAACACTTAATCCTTGAGGGCAAGGTGTTCTTCTGAAGATGAAGTTCAGTCTGATTTTAGCCTCTCTTCTCTGTTTCCATGCACAAACAAACCTAGTCCATTCACGTAAGTATCATATATAAAAAAAAAATATTGTGTGATCTTAAAATGTGGCAGGATTGAAATAATGGTGTTCTTTCTCTTTGTCGTTTCAGTAGCGGCACCTGTACATAACTGCCAGTGTGCTTGGTGGTCCAAAACACAGGTCCCTTACACTAAGATTAAGAGTTACAGGATTCAAGAAGAAGGCATTTGTTCCATCAAGGCAGTAGTGTAAGTGTTATCGTGTCATTATTTTTAATAAAGCCATTATTAGATAAATCCTCTTTGAGTAATCCCAAATGATTTAAACTGTTTTTTAAAATTGTTTTCACAACAAATCGGTTATGTCATGTTTTAAACTTTTTTTCCCGTGTTCAAAAATCTACCATTAACTTTATTTATGTAACTAAAGTTTCCACATACATATTTTTAATTGGAACCTAATTTATCCATCCATCCATCCATTTTCATCCACTTATCCGGAGTCGAGTCGTGGGGGCAGTAGCCTAAGGCGAGAGGTCCGGATTTCCCTCTCCCCAGCCACTTGGGCCAGCTCTTCCGAGGGAATCCCAAGGCGTTCCCTGGCCAGATGAGAGACATAGTCCCTCCACCGTGTCCTGGGTCTACCTTTAGGTCTCCTTCTGGTTGGACGTGCCCGGAAAACCTCACCAGGGAGGCGTCCAGGAGGCATCCTGACTAGATGCCCGAGCCACCTCAACTGGCTCTTCTCAGTGACAAAGGGCAGCCTTGGCGGAGTCCAACTCTCACTGGGAACGAGCCCGACTTACTGCTGGCAATGTGTACCAAGCTCTGACACTGGTCATACAGGGACCTAACAGCCCGTATCAGAGGGCCTGGTACCCCACAGGGCCCCCCAAGGGTCAAACGCCTTCTCTAAATCCACAAAATACATGTAGACTGGTTGGGCAAATTCCCACGCACCCTCCAGGATCCCCCTAAGGGTATGGAGCTGGTCCAGTGTTCCACGGCCAGGACGAAAACCACATTGCTCCTCCTGAATCTGAGGTTCAACAATCCGACAGACCATCCTCTCCAGAACCCCTGAATAGACCTTACCAGGAAGGCTCAGGAGTGTGATCCCCCTGTATTTGGAACACACCCTGCGGTCCCCCTTTTTAAATAAGGGGACCACCACCCCAGTCTGCCAGTCCAGTGGGACTGCCGTTGATGTTCACGCGATATTGCAGAGCCGCGTCAGCCAACACAGCCCCACAACATCCAGAGCTTTAAGGAACTCCGGGCAGATTTCATCCACCCCTGCAGCCTTGCCACAGAGGAGCTTTTTAAACACCTCAGTGATCTCAGCACCAGAGATTTGAGAGGCCAACCCAAAGTCCCCAGACTCTGCTTCCTCACTGAAGACATGTTGGTGGGATTGAGGAGGTCTTCCAAGTATTCTGCCCACCAATCCACAACGTCCTGGGTAGAGGTCAGCAGCACACCGTCCCCACTATAGATAGTGTTGATAGTGCACTGCTAACACCCCCCCTTACCCGGGACACTCTGCCAGACGTTTCCCAGCAGACCCTCACGATACGTTTGGGCCTGCCTGGTCTGACCGGCATCCTCCCCCACCATCTGAGCCAACTCACCACCAGGTAGTGGTCAGTTGACAGCTCCGCCCCTCTCTTCACCCGAGTGTCCAAGACATGTGGCTGCAGGTCAGATGAAACAACAAAGTCAATCATCGAGCTGCGGCATAAGGTATCCTGGTGCCAAGAGCACATATGGACACCTTTATGTCTGAACATGGTGTTCATTATGGACAATCCATGACTGGCACAGAAGTCCAAAAACAAACAAAACACCACTCGAATTCAGATCAGGGGGCCGTTCCTCCCAACCACACCTCTTCAGGTCTCACTGTTGTTGCCCACGTGAGCGTTAAAGTCCCCCAGCAGAACGAGGGAGTCACCTCCAAGGTCTCCAAAAAGGGTGGGTAGTCTGAACTGTAGTTTGGTGCATAAGCACACACCACAGTTAGAACCCGACCCCCCACACGTAGGCGGAGGGAGGCTACCCTCTCATTCACTGGGGTAAACCCCAACATACAGGCACCAAGATAGTGGGCGACTAGTATGCCCAATCCTGCTCGGCACCTCTCAGTGGGAGCAACTCCAGAGTGGTAGAAAGTCCAACTCCTCTCAAGGAAACTGGTACCAGAGCCAGAGCAATGCGTTGAGGTGAGTCCGACTATATCTACTCGGAACCTCTCAACCTCACACACCAAATAAGGCTCCTTCCCCACCAGAGAGGTGACATTCCATGAGCCAATAGCCAGCTTCTGTAGCCGAGGATCAGACTGCCAAGGTCCCCGCCCTCGACTACCACCCGTCACACACTGCACCCGACCCCTTTGGCCCCTCCCACGAGTGGTGAGCCCATGCAAAGGGGAGCCCATAATAAATGTGGCTTTATCTCTAAATAAATGTTACATTAGAACTGTTTAAATATTTGATTTATATTTTGACCTTTAAGCACTTAAATTTTTGATGTATTGCTGAACATCTAAAGAATTAAGAGAACAAATTTAACTTTGAAGTAGTGTAACCCATCATTATAATGTAATTAACAGTTCATGTTGTATTGCAGATTTCAAACTGTGGACAAAAAGAAAATTTGCTCCAACCCAAACAACAAATGGGTGCAACATGTCATGCGGGTGCTGAATGTAAAGACAAAGCCACCACCAACAAAAAGACCAAGTGAGGGAAGATTCACAAAGCCAGACCCAACAACAAAACCATCAACAGAGACAAGACAGCGTGAGAAAGGATGCACAAAGATAGAGCCAACAACCAGACCAACACCTAAGACTAGACCAATTGAGGAAAGATCCACAAAGTTAGATCCAACAACAAAACCAACACCAGAGACTAGAACGATGGAAAAAAGATCCACAAAGGTGGACCCAATGACAAAACCATCTCTGAAAATAAGACAGAGTGAAAAAATATGCACGAAGCTGGACCCAACAACAAAACCTGCACCAGAAATAACACCTAGAGAAGAAGAAGTCACTAAGGTTGAATCAACAAAAAACCAAAACCAGAGACTAGACCGATGGAAGAAAGATCCACAAAGGTGGACCCAACGACAAAACCTACACCAGAAATAACACCTAGTGAAGAAGAATCCACTAAGTTTGACCCAACAGCAAAAACATCACCAGAGATCAGGCGGCGTCGGGAGGGATCAGCTGTTGAGATGTCACCAGAAAAAACATCCCCTCTAAGAGGTGGAACTTTAGCAAGACGATGAAAAAAGAGGAATGGAAGACTAAAGAAGTGGCAGAGAAATCGGGGCCGAGAACAAACAATGTCCACACAATAATTTTCAATTAAATGAACCAGTTAATTTAAAATTTTCAAATTTTAATGTTGTTTTTCTATCTTTGTCTTCCAGTGACTCTTAAATTTATCAAGGTCATGGTTATTATAACCACTTATTAAAGACTCAGAACACAAATAACTCAAGCTAATAGACTACAAGTGATGCTATGTCAAATCCCTTCCTGTTCTATTTCTCTATATTCACAGTGTTGACCCTGGAAATCTAACTAGCTGTTCTACCTTGCTGTGCTGACCATGATGTAGAGAATATCTACGTTAGTGTAGAACACCCGAAGGTCTGTGATTTATTTCATGTACATTTTGTAACAGTTTTTTTTATAATGTATGTGTGTGTTGAAAAATAATGTGCATATTTAAGTTACCCCATTTTTTAATAAATTTCTTTTGAGCATGAATTCCTTTTTTGTTTAATATAAATCTGATCTAAATAATCACAATGAGAATTAATGCAGTTGATAATAGTTTAGCTATTGTTACGATTCAGATTGAACCTTTTAAAAATGACGTTCAAAAGCAAAGCCCAGCAGGAAGGAAACCATATTAGACTCGCAGCATTTAAAAGCTACAGTGATGCATTTGTAGATAAATGCAAATGTCAGACGTTCAGATTTTGCAAACAGAAAGTTCTGAAATCAAAAGTAATGTCAACTAGACAAAATACTGTCTAAAACATGCTAACTACATTTTCCAAACATTGCATTGAGCATCTTGTTTAACAGTGCTTTCCAACTAATGATAGTGTTCTTTTATGCACTTGCAAATACAATAAAAACAATATTTCTTTTTAGGAGATAATTATTATTGCTGATTTAGAATTTTCTCTTTTATTTTGTGGCAGTTTCAGCTCAAATTTTTCTTTTTTTGCAGCCTGATCTTTATTTAGTAGTAACACTGTTGCCTTGCAGCATTAAACTGCCAACATTGCTTTTTGTTTAAGAAAGATAGTCTGACTGGTCAAAGTCCCATTAGTCATCACACACTGGTGAAATTCATCTCTGCATTTGACCCATCCCCATGGGGAGTGTTTAGGTGCAGCAGTGGCTGCGCTCAGGAACTATTTGGTGGTTTAACCCACAATCCAACCCCTTGAAACTGAGTGTCAAGCAGGGAGGCATTGGGTCTCATTGTTAAAGTCTTTGGTATGACCCGACCGGGATTTGAACGCAGGTCTTCCAGTCCCAGGGCAGACACTCGGTCATGATAAGCTTGTTTTTTCTTGTGTCCAACCCAAAAGAAGTCTGAGCAATGTAAACAGAATTTTTATTAATCCTTAGTGATTATTATGTGTAATTACAATGAAAAGTGAAAGCTGAATTTTATGTAGAGAGCTATGTAAAACCAGCCTATTTTTATACTACATCTCTTCTTATTTAGTTTAGCAAACCAAAAACCACATAAACAAAGCTAAAGGTGTTAAAAGATGTCAGCATGTTCAACATATCTGCGAGGATAGGTCATGAGCTTGTCTTTATTTGAAACGGTGGGTCATTTCTCCTACATCAAATACCACTTCCTGACTACCAAGGTGTGCAAACTTTTATCAGTGTGTTTCTATTTCTGATGGTCAAATTCAGCAGAATTGCTTCCTGTCTTTCTCAGAATGTTAAAATGTTTTTAGTAAACCTTTCTGCTAACATGTAAATCAGAAAGATGTTTCTCCTGTAACGTTACCACAAAACTGCAGTCATAGGTGTGATTATTCTATCAACAATCAAATAGCCATGTTGGCATCATTGGCATGAATGTGACCTTGTCTCTTGTCCAGGTCTGGTCATCAGGGTTGTCTACCCCTTTTTATTTGGGGTCTCTACTTTTGCAGATGTGTTATTACGGTATTATTATTATTATTATTATTATCTACAAGAACTCTCAGACGACTTACACCTACTGCACATTGGAAGCATCTACGAGCAGAAAGGTTTACTTGCGACAATTGCTGCACTCCAGTGCACATCAGGAGAGTCTAAGCTGCGACGTGGCTTCTCTGTTGTGCTCCTTGCTTGACTCACAAGATCACCAAATCCCTCAAGACTTCCACAATCCTCCTCACTTAATTCACAAGATCACAAAATCTCTCCATTTTATGCCGTCCGCCATGAACCCTCCCACTGTCCTATTGGGCGATTCCGCCAGGAAAGTTGACCATTGAGCAGGGTTGATGGTTTATCGCTTGAGGTCCATGTGGCAGGGGTGAAGTGGTACTCACTCCTCACCCCTGCCACGTGGACCTCAAGGGATAAACCATCAACCCTCCTCAATGGTCAACTTTCCTGGCGGAATCGCCCAGTAGGACAGTGGGAGGGTTAAACCCAAAAGAAGGACATCACGTTTGATGTCATTTATGATGTTCCTCTCCACTGCAAGGATTAAAGCCATAAAAACACACCACTGCACTTCTGGAACAATGCAGGGAGTAAATGAGCGTTAGGTCACTTATAAAGATGTAATCTACATAGATATGAAATTGCATCGCTGCAATAGACTTTTTTTTTGAAAATTACAGGGAATTTTACACTGAAACTATGTGTGATTTCCTGTCTAGCCCTATGTTAACTGCGGATATTGTCGCATCCCAGAAGCAGCAAAAATTGAACCCAATCATATTTTTTGCGGCGTGGTGTGGAGCTTCTGGCCTGAAAATTGCAGCATTGCAGCTGCTTTGAATCATTCCCATAGACTCTTATTGGATGCCGCGCTGCTGATGCTTCCAGTGTGCCGTAGGCTTTAGACACTTTTAAAAATAACTTTTCAAAATCAGAATTTTCTTAGCCCTGAAAGCCATCCTAAAATAATTTAGCTTTTGTTACTGATTGTCTAGTTTTCTAGGCTAGATTTTTTTTTTGATTTCTGACATGTTATTTGTTTTTTATCATTAATATACTATCATTCATTCATTTTTTTTAAGTTTGGGCAAACTAGGCTATTGACACTCGAACCAAACTATACTCAAATAATATTATAAAATAGATTTTTTTTGCATCACAAAATTGGTATTATCTCCAAAGAGATTTTTACATTAGAAAAAGTTTAAATATCAAATTTCTATTCTGAGATTAAATTAATTTACAATTTGATGGATGGCTGATAATTAATTTAAGAGAAAATGTTTAGTTTTAAATCCGTACAACCCTCAATTACAATACCATTAACCGTTTGTAATGTATTGCAGATTTCAGACAGTGGCTGAAAAGGTCATTTGCTCTATAGTCCCAACAACAAATGGGCACGTGTCATGAATGTGCTGAATGCAGAGACAAAGTTGTCACTAACAAAGGGAGCAAGCAAAGAGGTATCTGCAAAGCTTGATCCAACCACACAACCATCATCAGAGACAAGAACTAGTAAAGAAGGATCTACAAAACTGAAACAATAACAGAAAACTTTCCAGAAATGAGACCGGAAGATGAAGTATGCACAAATATGGAACCAAAAACAAGGCCATCATCTGAATAAGAAGCTTTTTTTTTTTTTTTTGTCTTTATGCGTTTTCACATAATAAAGTTTTGTTTGGTAAATCTCATTCCGCATTAGACATACTTGAGTTATTGTGGATGAAAAAAGACCAAGCGATGAAAGATCTACAAAGCTGGACCTAAAAATTTAATCCTCATTAAAAAAAGAACCCGTGAAGAAAGGATTCAACCTCAAAAAATGTCACAAAAGAAAACTTGTCAGAAATTATCAGGTATTGAGATCCCACCAGCAGTATCCATGGCACCGGGAACCCCACCCCAAGCTTGTCTTTATAAGTCACAAAGTTTGTGTAGGAAGTCACAGTTTGACACCATACAAACCAACATGTTGACTGTGACTTATCCTTCCTTGGTAAATGGTCTGTATTTGACCCCCCCAATGTGCTTCACAACTAGGGTTGTCATGGTAACCGGTATAGCGGTAAACCCCGGTAAAAAAGTTGACAATAAAAATAACCGTCCAGTTTTTAAAAAACGAAATTATCTCGGTGGGTTTACCGTGGCCGCGGTTTCAGCGCGGTGACCCTTACCAGCCACCGTCGCTTCAGCTGAAGTTCCCGCGGCACGCACACGCACTTTTTAGTTTGCAACGTTACCAAAACTTTGAAGCTGAAATAATGGTCGAAGGAGGAGACGGCAGCGCCCAGGACATCCATCAGCCCTCAAAGAAGACTAAATTGGAAGTATGGGCATATTTTGGATTTCTGAAAATGCTGAGGGACAGTTAATAGAAGACGGCTATCCCGTTTGCAGAACGTGCAGGAAACAAGTGTCTGCAAAAGGCAGCAACACTTCAAATCTAATGGCACATCTGCGTGACCATCACCCACGTCTCTACAGCCAGTGCAAGATAAGTTAACATTAGCATTTTAGCTTAAATGCATGACGTGAGGACTTCTGGTTGAGGGAGACTGCAACGAGTCACTATATCCTGCAGCCGCAGCGTCCTCTGCCAGCATTTAAACCGTGTCACGGACACCCTGTTGCTGGATGAAGCATCTTATTTGTTGATGATGAAGAGAAATATACAATTAGTTCCTTGTCATTGATTTGTTTACTTATTCAATGCCATTTATACTTGAACATTAGGATTTGATTACATAGTGTAGTAGTTATTTTAGTAATTTGTTTAAAGTGGCTATTAATTTTAAATACATATTTTTTAAGGTTGACTTGTACAGTGCTCAAGTCAAGTGTGGACTGGAGTTTTACACTGTTAAACCTTTTCAGAACTATTTCAGTTTGTGTAGAACAGGACTATCAATGCTTTCTGAACATATGCAACACCGTTTAAAAAATACCGCGATAATACCGAAAACCGTGATAATTTTGGTCAAAATAACCGTGAGGTTAAATTTTCATACCGTGACAACCCTATTCACAACTAAATCAGTCATCCTTCAATTCATATGCTGATGAGCTACAATGTAGTCACAGCTGTCCTGGGGCACACTGGTAGAGGAGAGACTGCTGTACACAGGCGCCACCGGCCCCTCCGACCACCACCAGCAGGCAAGGCAGGTTAAGTGTCTTGCCCAAGGACACAACATCAACATTCTCGGGCAGGAGCCGGGATTGAACCTACAACCTTCTGATTACTGGACAACCTGCCCAAACTCCTGGGCTACTGCTGCCTGTTACAGTGACATAACCAGGTACAGGATCAACAGTGCTAAAATAAACAGCAGTACTAACAGAGATAGCTTGTTACAACACAACCAAGAATTGGTCACTCAGAACTGTTTAACCAATTTGAGGCCACTTTTGGTGGATTCCAACACAGTTGATTCAGTGGTTGAACCACCTGTGCAGCAGCTCATCAGGCTCTGCAAAAGCCTATTAATCACCTGCTGATTGAAATCAGGTGTGTTGAAGCAGAGTTAGAACTAAAACGATCCCAACAGGTCCAGGATTGATTACCCCTGGGTTAGGGTAATTAACACTGATCTATAAATTCTCTTTAAGGACAAGAACATTTTTTAAACATAAACTTCAATATTTTAGTAACCCTTTCTGGTTCATGTATTAAACGGAAAACATTTAACTCAACATCAGCTAACTGTATATATGTGTTACATTATAAAACCTGTACATTTAGAAATAATAAAAACATGTCATCTTGCACTC